ATTTTCAAATTAGAATCAAACTTATAAACACAATCTGTGCCAACATGATTATGAGTATAAAAACATTAATGGTTCACGAAGACATGAAGCTAAAACAATAGAGGCGGAACAGGGTGGAAGAAATTTGTTCTAGTTATTTAATAAAAACAAAATTACAACCCAAAAAATTTTTTTTTGCATGTCCTAATAAAATTTTCCATTGTTTCTGCATCATTTATTGCTGATTCAACGTTACCCAGATCATCATCAACTTGTATTTTCGATATTTTCGATAAACTCATTTTCGTTTAATCTTTTTGTTATACTTTCTTTTAGTGCGTTGACGGTTTTTTTTGATTTCGACTTCAAGATAGTCCAAGATATCAAACGTTTAGATTGGCCCTTTGTAGACAATGATTGTGATAACCATGTCCACATGTGAGTATGTATACACTACAATTATTCAAATTAGTATAATAGATGGTTTCCTAGAAGTAACAAAGCCTCTTGGAAGGCAACGATCGGTTATTTCGTAACATCATAACTTCATAACCTCTTCAGAAAATGTCATTGCCAATGGCTAGGATTCTTCAGACCATTGGTGTGTATGTCGAGTTTGGTTGCTTGGTGAACTACTAACTAATAGATAATATGAGAGGATATAATTAATTCATTGAAATATTATTATTAATGACTACTTGCAGCAAAAAACCTACTCTAATTTTGGCATCAAAAAAAAAAAAAAGATCACACGAACGAATATACACAACCTTTAATTATAAAACATCTTGAATTCTAAATAACTAAATTCTCTCATTTAGTTGAAACATCACCTCGCCAGAGACTGTTTCATTAGTTTTGTGGCGATTTTTACCAATCTGATCATGAATAAAATCGATGAAATTTTTGACGATGATAAAATAATAATAGCTAATAGACTGACCTCCCCTCAAAAAACGAAATGTTCAATGGAAGATCTACACCACAATATTCTTTTATCAAAGCAACAATACCACTACTGGAACATTTGAAGCCAAGAATACTATGGATATTTCTTGAACTGTGCCATTATTATTATTATTATTAATGTTGTCGTTGACTTCATTTTGTATTTCTAGTTCAATTATCCGTTTTTCTAAAGATAAAATTACATTTTCTTTGATCAACTAATTAAAGTTATGATTGCATAATAATAAAACATCTGCACGGAATTCAAATCCGCGTATTACAAAAAGTGTTTAATTGGTTGAGAAATAACCCTTACTATCCATATATCAGGAATAGTAGTAGTAGGGGGTAAAACCAAAAATCTGTTGAAACGAGGGTTCGACTGTAGAAATTTCCAGGTCCTATAATGTCTTGAAATCAAATTAATGAAAAGTCGTGAAATAAAAAGTTTTATTAATTATTGGACGCGAATGTACATATTATACATATTTAAAAAAGAATATTCATTGTATTCTATATATTGTTTATAAATATTAATTAAAAAAATGAAAGATAAATAACTTTTACGTCATTTCTATAAACACAAGGCTATAAATTTTACAAGAAAAACATTAATATTATATATTTTATTGGATAAATTTATTCTTTTTATGTTGAAGTTAATGGTGGTGAACTTGCTCTTATTCTTATCATGACATCCTTTTTATTGATTAAATCTTGAAATACAATTCTTAATTTGGGTAAGCTTTGGCTTCAACACTAGAAGATGATTTTCAAAATGTAATGTATAATTAAATAATACGTAACATTAATACTTTTTATGTAGTTGGATTGGATGAAGTTACACGGGATGAAGTTAGGCATGATGGGATTTCTCTTTTCGTTTATGATGGAAACAACAGTCTTATAGATAGCAGACAAGTAATAAGACAAATAGGAAATTATATTATGTTGTAAGTTATATAATTTCTCACAAAGAAGCACTTATTGTTTTTCTTGTTTTGCAGATATATACCTTATTTTTGTCATTTTGTATAATCATAGGTCAATTCAAAGAAAATCAAACTGATCAATCTTTAGATATCAATAGCAATAGTATTCCTTGATAATATTTTGCAAATCCAGGACATTCACATCAACAAAATAGTAGAAGGAATACAATTAAGAATCAAATACATTAGTGCTAGACCCAGGAACTTTTCAAGAAAATGCAGACGATGCCAGTATTTAAAGTCAATAATGCATATATATTTAATAAAGTATTGTTTTTACTAAAATTTTATGATTCATCTAGCTAGTCTTATGCCTTTAATGAATGTAAATTGCATATTATTATTGCTATTGAAATGAATAAATGTTATTATAATGTATAACCATTCAGAATTACATCTTGCAATCTCCATAGATCTACAATAAAGTTATCTGGTACACCACCAGGAACACCACCAGGGACATCATTAAAAAGCAATGTGGTGGGTATAGCCATTTGATATTCTTGAAGATTGGCACCATCACAAGGAACCCCTCCAAATCCGACACCAGTAATGCCTGTAACATGTACAGTATTTAGAAGATATGTTTGTGGGTAATGGTGAAGAGGTGCTGTTCCAAAAGACTTAGCAATTACAGGGATTGTTGGATTTGGATTGTTACGCAAGTAAAGCAGCACAAGAAGTGCAACAGAACCATTCTGACGAAGTGAGAATAACTTGATGGCTAAATAAATTTGAATAGTGGTCCGTTGAGAAAAATATGTTGTTGCCGATTCATGCAAACTCCTTAAACTTTCCATATCGGCAATTTCAACCACTAGAGTTGGATATGGTTGTCTGGATGAATTGACTGCTTGTGATGGTTGAGGTTGTTGACGATTCCTTGGTTGAACACTTATATCAGGACAATAGACACTTCTTGTACCCACAATAACATCCAAACTACCAAGGACAAGCAACTGATCATTCCAGTTACCCATAATAGCAATTAACTTTCCTTGTGCTAATCCATGAGGGTTGAGAGGTATTTTGTAGGCTTCAATTTTTCCATTGATTAAACGGTATTTAGCAGAAACCCTTGGTTCACTTTCACTAAATTCAACATAAGTCCTACGTGATACTTCTCTGTCAATAATAATTCCCTTTCGTTTCACTTCCTCAATTCCTTCTTGTCGTCTGATAGCAAGAAGCTTATGTCTTGCTGAATCCAATGCCGAAAGCCATTTAGAGTATAATTCATTCTGCAATGATGAAGACATAATACTTGAATGATGTGAATGATGTTATTTACAAAAAAAAAATTCAATTGCACTAATAGTCTAATTAATTAATTTGTATATGAAACATTGACCCACAATTCACATGATTTATTGTTTAATTGCAAATGATCTACATTTAATAGATTGTGGGGTTAATAAAACATATAAATTTTACCAATTAAACTGTAATGTCTTCACAAAAACATAAACTTCAACTTATTGCTGCAGGTAAACTTGGACCAACACTTCATTATGGCTCATTTGCTGCAAACTGGTGGATTTTCAATAATTGAATAATTCCTGAGGGAGAAAAACAAACATGTGTTCCTGATAGTTCAGTTGCAACTCAATGAGACAAAGTGTAAAGAATTTGTGAAGAATTACTTTAAAGGTGAATTAAACACTTTACTACAAACAAATACTTTAATTGTGGTAAAAATATAAGTTATTCTTTATTCTTTTTAAAATAATAATCATCTATATGAATATTACTAAACACAATTAGCAAAAATATTTAATATATTTGTAAATGACATTTGATGTTTGCATGAAGCTTATTCTTCTATAGCGATAGATGAAAAAAAACACAAGGAAAAGATCAGGACAAAAGATTTTAACAATCGAAATTTGCAAATGGCTTTTGATTCACACAAGGGTTCTTCTTTGTGAAGGATCTTTTTTTCTTTTAATTAAGAAAAAAAAACTTAGTTGATTTTTTTTAACAATTAAAATTTATTCTTTTATAGTGATGTAGGCTTGAAAAAAACATCTGATTGATCAAATTGACCTTTAGTTGGGATAAAAATAAATGGACACAAAAGAAAAGATCAAAACAAAAGATTTTTTTTTTTTAAAACAATCAAATTTGTAAAACTTATCCTTCTATGGTGATGTAGGCTTGAAAAAAACATCTGAACGATCAAATTGACCTTTGATCTGGGATGTATAAATAAATAAAAATGAATAAAATACTAACCAATTCGCCTTTCGAATCTTTTTTACTTGCTTGCTTTTGTATATTTTAGTTTAGTTTGAGCATTATTGTGCCAGGTTTAGTGACTCTGCAATTGAGTTGAGTTTCTATTCGTAATAAAATTTTTGTTTGAATTGTTATCATAATTCATTTATTATTCGAATTGTTATTATCATTCAAATTGTATCATTCGTTTATTATTCAAATTGTTATCATTCTTTATTATTTGAATTGTATCATTTGCTTATCATTATTATTTGAATTATCATTATTTATTTATCATTATTATTTGAATTATCATCATTCGTTTATTATTATTATTTGAATTATCATCATTCGTTTATTATTATTATTTGAATTATCATTATTATTATTTGAATTATCATCATTCATTTATTATTATTATTCGAATTGACATCATTCGTTTATCATTTGAATTGACATCATTCGTTTATCATTATTATTCGAATTATCATCATTCGTTTATTATTCGAATTGTATCATTCGAATTGACATCATTCATTTATTGTTATTATTCGAATTGACATCATTTGTTTATTCAAATATTTGTTTTACTTGAATTATTCATTTTATTTCGTTTATTCATTTTTTTATTTGAATTGTTTATTCGAACTATTCATTTATTCATTTATTCAAACTATTCAAACTATTCGAATTATTATTATTTGTTTATTTGTTTTATTTAAATTATCTATTGAATTATTTGTTTTATTTGTTTATTTGTTTTATTTGTTTTATTTGTTTATTTGTCTTATTTGAATTATTGAATTATTGGATTATTAATGATTCATTTTATTCAAATAAACTTTCAATGTAATTCAAATACTCATTCATAGCAAGTAAAACAAATAATTTGAATAAACCCTTATTCAATAGAAACCCTAATCAAGCAGTATAGTTGTATATAGTGATTTTAATTTAGTTTTCCAGATTTAGTGACTCCAATAACTCTGATTGCATGCTTGCAATATTTATTACAGTTTTATGACTTTAGGGTGTCAATGCTGAATTG